CCTAGGACCTTAAAATCGGGTACCAATCTCTGCGTCTCGTAACGGCGCACACGCTCGTTTTTTCCGCGACGCGCTAGCTCCACCAGGGGCGAAACGGCGAGGGGGGGGTCGTACCCGCCCCCCCCCTCGGCCGGCGCGTATGTAGAAAACCAATAGGTCCGGCGAGGGATAAGCCTCGCAAAAGCGTCCGCACGGCCGGCCGGCCGGCCGGCCGGCCGCTCATACTCAGAAATTTCCGTTATTCTACGTAAGACTCCGCTCGCTTCGCTCGCTCCGTAATTACGAGTTCCTATTCCATTATATAATAGCTTCATATGCGTCTCAAATTGGATGCGGTGCTTTCCCATCCATTGAGCGATCGTGTCCGGTCCTTGGTTCGTAGCTCCGTCAACCAGTTTTGTTCTGTTGAGGCCCCAACTTCTACTGAAATAGGGGAAGGTGGGGTAAGACGGACCAGCTAAGGTTTGAGGCCGCATATCTTGCTACACTGCTCTCGTAATTCATATTATTTATAGTCTTCGGAATGCTCAATCCTTCCTCTGTTGATATGTGTAAAGACTAAATTTCAAATTAAAGACATCTAGGTGGTGGATGCTCTTAAAGAGGGACATGTCAAAAACTCAGACAAGAAAAAACGTGGGGTAAGACGGACCACCCAGCAGTGCCTGCTATCCGTTCATGTGTGTTACACCTCTGCTCTGTACTCTTGTAAGAAAAAGTAACCAGAATGGTAAAATAACAAAATGAGCCTTTATTCTTTACTCATGTGTGATGGAAGTGCAGCTAAAGCTGGGAACATGTGTGTTGATTGTCGTTTGGCATGAATGCATGCTAACTGAGCACTTGCATGCATGGCTCACATGCAAGAAAGACTCCTTCCTGAAAAATTAGCTTACTTAAACTTGTGTCAATGTTTTGGAAAAGAACTTTCCATATGCAGGGTACAATGGATCACCACAGGGTAAGATGGACCACAGTGGTCCGTTTTGCCCCAAATCTAAATTTTGTCATTATCATGACGTATATGTCAAATAGCCCAACATTGCAAAACCTTGCCTTTCCTACAGTGTGACTATAACTAAGTTTATAACTTTGTTCTTCACAGTTAAGTGCAAAACAGAAACTAATCATGCAAGAAAGGCGCCGTAATTGAATCACCCGTAGACCTCTTATATTAGATCGGTTTGACGAAAAACAACATTTTCCTTAATAACTCAAATGCTATGCATCCTAGCAGCATGAGCTCAAGGTGGCCATTGTCACGAAGGAAAACAAACATAGTGAGTGCATTAAGCAGTAGATACCAGCAGTGGTTCAGCCGGGAGGGCTGGTGGTCCGTCTTGCCCCGCTGGGCCGTCTTACCCCACCTTCCCCTACTAGGAATTAGAGGTGGCAAAAGATGAAAATTTTGGGAACCAGACTCGAACCAGACCCGGCTGGACATTTCTGGAACCAGTCGGACCCGGTATTAGTTGGAATCGGAACCAGTTGGACCCGTTCCCCAAAAGTCAATTAATACAAACTACTTGTAGGTATCATTAGTTGCATCGTGTAAAACAGCCTATTTCCCTCTGGGAATGCTCATGAGCTACTGTGTGCAAAGAAAAATTCACTTCATTCACTTCATATTTTGCAATAATGTGTAGTGTGCAAGATGTTTCTTATCTTTAGACTTCACTCCAAGATGTGCAGATAACTTAGCACGTGACGTCACACAATTTGATAATAAAAATCAAGCGTCACGCTCATTGCCACTGGCCTGGCTCTAAAAGCGAACACACCATATGTCTGCTGTGTATCAAGGAAATCTGAGACTTTTATATATCTTTTGAAATTTATATCCATTCGTATACAATAATATGCAATGCTCTCAAAACTTCGGCAAGGAAAACCGATCGGTGCACAAGCGAGACAAGTGGTTTATAATGTTTACCAATATTTTATTCGAAAGAAAGATGAATACCTCAAGCAAGGTGATGAGAGTGCAGCGGCTAGCATTAACGTAGCGAAGGAGACCAGCTCTGCTACTGGAGTGTCGATTGCCTCTGTTAATGCATTCAAGAGTGGAATAGAGACACATGGATGCCAGTCTCCAGCCCGCCAGCGCCCTAACAGGGGGCCACGCGAGTACTTCGACGAGTTTGACCAGTGCGCGTTCAGAAGAATGGTGCATGCCATGTACCTGGAAGGGAAAAAGGTCACTTTGGACACCATTAGAGCGGCAGTTCAGGACAAGTTCGAGCAGACTATCTCGCGCTCAACCATACGAAAGCAGCTGTTCCAAATAGGATTCAAGTTCCGACAAGTGAACAACCGAAAGCTGCTGGTTGAAAAACCTCAGGTGGTGGCAGCCCGGAACGCGTTCCTGAGACGCATTCGGAAGATTAGAAGCTCCGACCCAGAGCGCACTATAGTGTACTTGGACGAGACCTGGTATAACCAGTTTGATATGCGAACGGTCGCGTGGTTGGACAGTGACGACGTGGCCGGCCATAAGCCAGTGACAGGGAAGGGCAAGCGCCTAATCATAGTCGATGTTGGCTCGGACAGCGGCTTCACCCCAGGAGCATTCATGTGTATGAGGACGGACGGCAAGTCTGCCGACTATCACACGTCTATGAACGCGAGCTGTTTCGAGGACTGGTTTCGACTCCAACTTCTGCCGAACCTGCCAGCGAATAGCGTGATCATTATGGATAACGCCTCGTATCATTCAAGATGTGCTAACAAGGCACCTACAGCTAGCTGGAGGAAGGAAGCGATCCAAGAATGGCTGCGGGTACATGATGTCAATCCTGATCCGGACTTGCGGAAGGTCGAGCTTCTTGAGCTGGTTCGCCCTCTGAAACAGACACGCGAGTATGTGTTGGACAAGGTGGCACAGGAGGCCGGTCATGAAGTACTGAGGTTGCCCCCATATCATTGCGACCTCAATCCGATTGAAATGGTTTGGGCAAACATGAAGACGCACGTCCGCCAGTTCAACAACACTGGGCATCTGAATGACGTGGAAAGGCTGCTGCTGGATAGCCGAGACGCCGCGCCACCGGACTTGTGGCGAAACTGCTGCCGCCACGTGCGAGAACTGGAAGAGGTGTACTGGCGAGCAGATGGTATGATGGAGGACATCGAGCCAGTGATCGTGTCACTTCAGGATTCGAGCAGTGACGACAGTGACAGTGAAAGTGATTGAGGGCGCATGGGACCTACGATGGCTTCGGTGAACCAAACATACCCAATATACGAGTACGACTCCTGTGTTTCCTGTCTTTTGTAATTTGTATTACGAGTTACTGGTGGTAGATTTGTAGACACTAGCGGGTAATACGAGCAAAACATGTCATCACATTGAAATAGTATGTATATTTGTTAATTTCGATTTTCGATCAATGCTGCATTCATCGCTAAACACACGCTCATATAGCCAACTCGTTTTGGTAGCCTGCGCCGCTGAACACGCATGTCCTGCGGGTTGCCTTCCTCCACAGGCATAATTCATCTCCGCCTCTCGTCACGCAGTCTAACCCGTCCACATGATACTTCGTGAGGATTACAACGTCACAGTCAATACTATCGAAAACGCGTTCACTCGAATGTCTGCGATAGCGAACCACAAACCAAGTGCTTCACGACAGTCGCCAGAACTTGTTACGAGCCACACGCCGAGCTCCTTCAAGAATTTCCTTGCATTGGGTCCGCACTCGCAGTCGCACGCACCTGCGGTTTCAAAAAACTTCGGCTGGAACCAAGCCCTATAGGTCTTGAACTAAAGTCACTGATGATGACTTGTGTCCATTTGCAGAATAGTTCATTTCCAAGTGATATTCGCTTTTATAGGTACCCTTTAATTCATCGGATCGATAGTTCGGTTAGCATACCAAACTTTATCCAACTTAATTTTTGTAGCAGGTAGGTATAAGTACCTACCTATTTATGTAATACACATTTGTGAGACTACAAATCTGCACTTGCCGCACCCAAGAGCGCCACTCTCCAGGCTTCAAGGCAATATTTTCTGTTTCCGAAGGGCTTGATTTTTTCTAAGCCATGCTTTGTCTCGTGCATATCTTGCGAAACATCTTGGAGTGAAGTCTAAAGATAAGAAAAACGGACTATAGTTTATGGTAGGACCCGGTTGGACCCGTCATAAAATTTCCAGGAACCGGTCTGGACCCATATGGGTCCAGACTGGTCCTTTGGACCGGGTCCTCGGGTCCACATTTTGCCACCTCTACTAGGAATTTCTTGGATGACAAAGTATATTTACTATTTAGTGCATGTTCTTTGCATTCAACACTCTTGTCTTTCCTTACAGCGCATATTTACAGGTCGTGAAAGTTCCGGAAGAACACATACTGAGGTCCTTCCCACCGTTCTGTAAAATTTGCTGAGGCAATAGTAGATCTGCACGGTACATGGATTTGAAATCTGAATTACAAAGAAGACTTCAAGTTGAACTATATAGATTAGTTGCCCCCTCATTCCACATTGGCTAGCTATGAAAATTAAAATGGCAGTCTTCTCAAATTCCTTTTGAGTCTCTCTCAAGGATTCCTGTGCACCAGGCGGAACCCCGTAATTATCACCTTTATACACCACTCAGAAATAACACGTGTGTGATTGATGGACTTGCAGATAGATAGTGAATGGGTGTGCGAACGCATAAATCATTACAAAACACGTTATCGGGTGAGAAACATTGTGAATCATTATGAATTGCAAGATTTATGCGTATCTAATTTCAAAGACAAAACCGAGGCAGGTAATTGTGTTTTATCGGACAATGCCCTTTTCATGCTTTTTACTCTTTGTGAGATTCCAGAGGAATGGTCGTATACAGCTCAGACTTCATCATGCATACCTACCAAATAAATTTGATACATGAACTATGTATTTATGCACATGTACATATGTGTACTTATTGCATAATTATCTTTGTTAGTATGTCGTTACTCGTTAACTGAATTCTCGGAGGCAGGAGTAGCTAAGAACTGACTCACCTTTTCACTAGCCACGAGGACATCTGTAGAAGGCAGAGTACCTGGAAGACGAGAGCACGGTTAGAAGCACATACCAGACGATCTCCGGTTAATCACACTTCCTATCACTGCTACAGTCCATTCCAGGAAAGCGACACTGAAGGATTTACGGCAGTCATGAGCCGGTAACAAGAATAAATCAGTAATACGAATCAACTAATCTCAGTAGTTACTTGAAGGTGACTCAACCAAGGAAGAGTTGTGTGGCGAGGATAATCACCCTTCCTCTTTTCCCAAGCCGTTTCTCTGGGATTCTATCTCGGGTCACTGTCCGACGGAGGCGAATCGTTCTCCAAAACTCGCGGTGCGTGATCCAGTGCTGTGGGTGTGTTGCCGGAATGTCAGTAGGATTGTGCAGCTGAAGTCAGCTGGCCTGCCCACTCTGGCTCCGGCCGGACTTTGAACTGTCGGTTTCGGCACGCAATGCCGCTCAGCCACAGCTGGGTGGACTGGACATGGGTCCGGTATGACGGACGAGTATCGTGGGTATGAGCTCACCTACTAGGCATGCGCCTATAGGCCAGTACATAAGTGTGTGGCTGCAAGGGCTCTACGCAGGCTACTGCCTTAAATCAGCGGCATTACCTGAAGAAAGAATCCCTCGTGGGTCGTGAAACGAGTCTACGAGAGTACAGAGTGGAGACGCTTTCTCCGGGAGATGTTCCTTTCGTATATGGTGGTGTTTTTAGCCTCATTTACATTCCGTGCTGCTGTCTTTTGACTTCCTGCATCTTCAAATTGCTTCTATCAGCCGCACCTTCTGTGTTATTGAACAGCTCATCCGCATTGCAACTCCCGAGAATGACTCTCGTCATGTCATTCCCACGGGCAGCCGCCTTTCCCTGCAAACGCTGACAGCGATACAAATCGTCCCACCACCGGCGCCCGTGTCCCCTGCACGACATGCCCACCGCGGCTGCGCGATCAGTGTCCGCACGTGGCCACGGGACACGTGGCAGCACGGGGCGGACCATTCACCACCGGCCAGAGGCCCCGCTGCAGCCGCGCGCGAGGCGCCCCGGGATTATACGTTACCCGCTGGGGGAGTGGGGAGGGACGGGTGGGGAGGGACGGGTGCATACCTGTGCGACAGGAATCTGACTGGCCCTGTAGGACCGGATCCCGGCCACCAGACATTTGACCGATGCTAGTCGGAAACCAGCGCATGCTAGGATTTTTTTCCGGGAGTGACATAACTGAAACTACATTACCTGTTTCAAATTTTGAATATAAACCGGACATGAGTTTTAAGTCGTCTTTCGTTGAACGCACTTTGCGTCTTAAAGTAACTGGTCTACCCTATATTTTTAGGGGATAAATTTGAGCCGCAATAAAATTATCATTCATCCGCAAATGCTCGGTTATCTCAGGTGTAATCGCAACACAGACCGACAAGCATGCCGGTCCTGATCAACGAGCAGGCGCTGCTTCCGAGTAGTGGGGCCCCCGCAGCACACATATCGCTCACTGTCTCTGAGCGTCGCAACTGAGCGAGTCGAACACCCTCTCACTTTCCTGATACCTGAGTGCCTATCGATCACCAGACCAGACACCGGCGGCGCCGTCTGTGACTGAGGTGGGGTTGACTAACGCGGCGGTGTGTACGAAATGCACTGCGCCGCCCAGCCCAGTGCCAGGAGGGTAGCATACATACATACACTCACGCTCATACAAATGCCAGGCGTGGTGGGGCTGCATTCGGCGCTGGAATACTGATGTAAGCCGGCGATGGTGCCCGGCCGACGCCAGCTCCAAGACGAATGGCGCCCCAACAGGAATATTAAATAGCCGTTTACATTAGTTACCAAACACCGTTCGTTTAGATGAAAGCGCACGTTGAAAGGGTAATTACGGGTCATGGCAGATATTTATAGTAGCTGCTTGAGGTGTAATTAAATATGAAGGACAGTTTTTAAAATTGATGGTTCACATTTTACATTGTAAATTCTACATTGTAAGACAACACATTGAATGCATGTTGACGTCATGCTCAACAAGAAAAATACGGTGTCGTGCAGGGCCCACCATTTCGTCGAATCATGCCGATTTATTATTCTACCATGTAGGTAAATTGCTGCACTGTCAAAGCGCTTAAAATACACAACACACCACACCAATTTCATCGAAGAAAAACTACAGTGAAGAAGAAACCGTCCAGCCTTCTGTGAGGGCAATCTGCAAACTAAAGTAAGTGCCTAAATTTTCACGATAAAATTTCTTCCAAACAGCATAATTTTGGGCAGCACAAAATATAGCATAATGCAAGCTAAAGCTTTCAATTGTTACTTACTTTTGTTGCCGATGTCGTCATCGCCCTCGAAGTATGGGTTATCGAAGGCGAACTTGGAATCGTGTCCGCTCTCTCCTAGTACCACCTTCTCCAGCGCGGGATCTGAAACACAAACGGTGGAACTCAGTCAAAGGGAGATAATAGAACAGACGGTACCGTCAGAGGGGCCCGAAACACGAGCTGGTCGCTGGTGGTGAGTGGCTGAGTGCAGGGTCGGGGACATGGGCGGGGAAACGGGAAACCTGGCACATAGTGAGGGTGACGGTGCTATGAACGCCGGGCGGCGCAGCATTGCACCGCACGGTGTTAATTCGGCTTGGGTGTAACAAACAGAAATAGGAGGAACGCACAATCGGGGCGTGTACCGAGTGCACTGTTTACTGGTTTACCCCAGAGGAAGGTGGAGTCATCCCAACTACGGTAAATGTGCATCTCGCCGGGCCGGGACAGCAGGCGGAGTACGGTAACTGCGCGTCTCGCTCCGGTCGGCGGTGCTTCTTGCGACGTTAACGACGATGTATGGCGCTGCGCGACGCGCCGCTCTGGCCCCGACGGACGCGGCGGCTGTTTTTGTGCAGGAAGAGGTGTGTCAGAGACGACTGTTTAGACCAGAGGCGCGCCGCTTTAGCCGCATGCTCACACCAGACACACCAGCACCGGAAAAAGTTGGCCACAGAGTCCGAGCCGCTGAATGGAGGTCGACGTAAAGCTGAGTAAACAGCGATGGAATAAACCACAAATAACTTCCCCTGGTGAGCATCCTCGGAACATGCCATGCATGACAGAGAGGCCATATCTTCATCGGTTCATCTGGTCTCTCTCTCTCTCTCTCTCTCTCTTTCTCTCCCTTTCTCTCTCTCTCTCTCTCTCTCTCTATCTCTCTCTCTCTCTCTCTCTCTCTCTCTCTCTCTCTCTCTCTCTCTCTCTCTCTCTCTCTCTCTCTCTCTCTCTCTCTCTTCTCCCAAACATCAATCACCTCTCACCACGTTAGCGACCACACCGGGCGTCTCTTTGGACGCCGTGCCAGTAAGTGCAGATATCATTAATCAGTCACCGTTTCAGACTTCAGTTCAGTCACGTCTTCTCACGCGCCACCAGCCGCTACATATGTCACCGATACCCTGGGACTACAGTGCGCCAAAGAAGCATATCGTAGTCCTCCGGTGGTTTCTGGAAGGCCACCCATGGTGGTATAGAAGCGTCCGTTTGTATTACAAGCGATCATTCATTTTACGATAGATCCGGTCGCTTTCCGAATAGCAGGTGAGGAGGACTTTTGTTTGTTAATCTGTTGAATGGATACTGGTTTACAGTTTAAATAAATTATGGGTCAAACTAATTAGGTACAACCAATTTGCAGCCAATGAGCTAAAGAACGACTGCACTTTGTTTTTAATTTCAGCTGAAATTGCACGGGCAGCTACCTGAGAAGTTCCGTCTTTTTCCATTTCCTGAAGCGGGGTGATCGTGCTTTTTATTAGCGCATTTTGAAATCCAATAGCTTACTCTGATATCACTTCGTATGGCTATATCCGTCCCCATCACACATTCCAAACCATGACGTAAATGGTTGAAATAGCTGCTACCACTGAACGGTATCTACAAATTTGTTCCGGTTACGATACTGCATTGCTGCCGATCAACTTTCCGCCGTCCATTTTCCCGTGTTTGGAATGTTCCTGTGACGACCTGCATTTCTGTCCACCAAAACGAGTTTCTATTTGTGTAGCAAATCCTCGTCCTTCATGGATTACATAAGGAACGCATGGCGTCGTCTCTCCCCCGGTCCGACGGCTACCGTTGCCGTTAGGGATTACCTGAGGACGCAGCACCGTCTCGGCCCCAGTCTGACGGGCCGCCGTTACCACCGGTCAGTCGTTTCACAGAGCCAGCGCGCGCTGAGAGCATGAATGGACGTCTCAGACGACCGATCGGACACGCCGCCGAGCGGGGCCGGCCGGACGGGCCACCTGGCTCTGGCTGCCGACCTCATTCAGAGAGTGGCCAGCCGCAGACGGCGGTCGGCAGAGCGTCGCGGCGGCTGCGGTCAGAATATGTGCCGGGCTGGGCGGACAGGTAGCCGGGGAGGAACCGATTCAGGCGAACGTGCGTGAGGTTGTCAGCCTGGGGGAATGGAGGCAGTCAGGAGATGGAGTTCGATATTTCGTCATCATCGAGCTCCGAGGAATCCCACAGACCTCTGTGGAGTCATCAGTTGCTCCCTCGGGCGGCTGTCGCGGCAGAGCGAGCCTTTTTATCTCACGGCATCGTTCAGTGGCTCTCAAATCGGCTCCATGTGTGGGCCGTTCGCTCCAGTAGCGGCTGTCGATTCGCTGCGGCTGTCGATCTCAGCGTGGAGCTGGAGTTTGAGAGCTGTGAGAGGCGCTGCCGAGCCGGCGGCCCCGGCGGCCCGTCTCAGAGCAGAGATGGGCCACAAGAAGCACCTCCAACGGTGTCAGCGCAGTCACGCGCTGACGCGCTGACGGAGCTCCTGCCGAGCCGGCGGGACGGTATAAATGTCTCATTTGGACGCTGGGAACTAGGGAGAGGGGATGATAAGGTGCAGCAAGACGTGAAATGACGGACATTGCATGACGGCCTGACGGGAATGTATCAAGTTGTCTGTTCATGATGTCTATGATGAGACTCATTGATGGTAAAGCGTTCCAATCATACATAACGACATAGCATTTGAAGGAGTTCATCTTATAGCACGATAAACACCGAATGAATTTATGCAAATGCGACGGTAAAAGTCTTTTGACCTTATAATTGCGCAAGTATGTTTTTACTTTACAACAAGGTGCATCATACTCACATATTTATTCCCATTATCCACCTGTATCAGCGTTGAAAGTAGCATGGACCCCACTCATCGATCGGTCAGCGTGTCAGCTATATTTCGGCGCCGGCTACCCAATGGCCACTAATCGCTACCCACGGCTTGTTTATCCCACAAGTTGCCGAGTAGCCGAACGGAGCGGGCTGTTTGGCCTCTCAGCGGACCCCTCCACGGGAGGTCCACCGCTCCGCTCCGATTCGGTTCGGGTGGGGAGCCGCCGTCCCGCCCATACGCAGTCGCCGCCTCCGCGACATGGAAGGATAAGACGTTGGGCAGGTGAATGGACGGATTGACGGGCAAACAGACGGAAAGGCGAACGGATAGAAGGGCGGACGGGTGGTGACGGACCGACGGACGAAAGGACGGACGATCACATACCTATGGTCGGGCGAGTGCACGGACACGGTGGAAAGGCGGATGTGTTTTGTTTCCGATGAATCTGATCTGAATTTTTCCGATGAATGCATCTGAATTTTTAACTGGTCCTTTTAGAACATGGGCAATAAGCATTAAGCAGTGCCACAGATAACAGTAGCACTACTGTTATCTGTGGCAGTGCATTTCAATGAATATTGCCATGACACTAGCCGTCCAACATGAAAAGGAAAACTTCAATTATGTAAGGCAGGCGGAAGAGCAAGCACTGATTTGCCCACTATCCACAATGCAAGTGGCATTGGAAACACACTTGTCTACAGCGCCTCACGGGCACATTTCACACAGCGCTCGCTTTTTGTCCGTGACCGAGCTCTGAGACTTGACCTGCAGTGCCGAACGCCGACCACAAGCGGGTCAGGCGGCAGGTGTGGGAGCCAGCGACCGACGTGAAGCCGTCCGGGAACCATGAACAGGAACAAAAGACACCGTCGGCCCGAGCGCTTATCCGTGAAATAGTGGAGCCGGGAAGATGATGGTTCGTGTGGAGATCGCTTTGCTTCCACATCCACCAGCGGGCTTAGCTTTCAATACCTACTTCCTATTGCTTAAAGTTGCCCAGAGCAGAGGCTTCGTTGTATGCAAACGTATGATATGCATGCCTAATAGCCGATCAATACGAATTACGAATCATTCCAGGAGAATCATACATTGCTCCGAGAGAAGCATGTATCGTCAGAATGCAGACGGCAGCCCCGCACAGTCATGGCTCCCCAAGCGGCGTGGCCTCCAGGTCCGATCGCGAGCCCAGTCTGAATACGCGACCGGTGACTCAGGAATGTCGACAGTCCGGGTAAAGAATGCGCCATACGGGTCACGTGACTGCGGCAGCCGACATGCGCAGCTTGTCGAACAGGCCACGTGATCACATTGGTCACTACACCCAGCCGGGCCCGGTTCAGTCACGTGGGTTTGGGGGTATCTGGGGCCTGGCTATCACGTGGCTCGTATACGACGAGCGTGACTGATCTGTCTGAAGGTTGAATACTGAGTCGTCCGTACACTGTCACTGCCACTTCTGCCAAACTTCTGCCGTCCCCTGGCCAAGACAACAGGCTCATGTCAACCGGACTGACGGCTCCTGCTGCCTCTATTGTGGAGTAGTCAAGTATCAATATATTTTTAAAACAGCACTCTTAATTGGCAATTGGTAATTGACTTTCCCGGTTGATGACAATGGTGAGTTTTGTTTTAGACAGGATAATGTGTGCAGAAGGATGTCATGTGGCTATGCTGCTTTGGCCCCCATGTATACTTTTTCATCTGCTAAACCGGTTTAACTTTTAGGTGTGCTGCCATGATGTAAGTGTTGTGTATTTCCGCTCGCAATAAGGCGAACCAATTTTTCACGCTGTACGTACACACTAGTATTTATGATAGCATCCTGTTGTGCTCTCTCGGCTACATATGGAATGTGTTATTCCTAGATGCATCCTCTGGAAATACCGGTTATTTTCCTCACCTAGTGGAAGTCTCTGGTGTTACACTTCACGCAGCAATGAAGTCTCCAGTGCTATCTACCATGCGGCGTTGGAGTCTCCAGTGCTACCTACCATGCGGCGTTGGAGTCTCCAGTGCTTATACCCGTTATATGCTGGTCTCCTCTGTTAGACGCTTGTTCGGCGTTGCAGTTTCCAGTGTTTGGTGCTCACGCCACGGTGTTAGACTGGGCACCAATGCAATAACGGATTCTCCTGTGCTATGTGCCAGTTTTATGTTACAGTCTTCTGGGTGCGAAGCTCATGACAGTCTCAAGTTGGACGTTTACTAACAATAGTCTTTGGTGCAGTTTGTGTTGAGGTCTTTGGTGTTGGGTTTCCATTTTATATTACAGTCTTCCAGGCTCGGTGCCCATTCATTCGGTGCCCTTTCATCGGTAGTCTTCAGTGCCGGATCACTTCACAATACCGTATGAAAACTGCAGGTGAACCATTGAACACTGAACAGCTTTGCAACCGAAAGCACTAAAGAAGACACATAAGCAGAAACAGCAATGGAACATTCAACGAAGCGAGATGTTTTGTCAGGCACATTTCCTTCCTGCCTGCTCCAAACTGACACTATCAAGATGCACCAGACCCTCCCTATTTTCCCCAATGAAGAGCAGCGAACGGAAATGAAAGGTGACGACTGCGTTACCGATTACAAAACAGCTACATACATTCGTAGAGCTATAAACAGTAACGTTTTCTCAGAGCGATCAGGACACGGGTCTTTGTACGATAAAACTTCAACAATACATGAGCCTGCAAGATGTCACAGCCATATCACAGCCATCGGCTCGATTTGGGCCGGTCGAAACAGTTGCATTCATTGGAGCTGAAACATAGTTCTGATTAATAGTTCCGTCCGGTTACGTACACCAAAGCTAACCACAAATAAAAACAGCTCTGTATCTATATCCGTGCCAACTACCACCATCACCTCTGCAGACGATCTCTGTCCGGTGGTGCTAAGACCTCAGCCGGTCAGCCAGCGCGACCGGGTCGCCGGAACGGTGAAGCGCCGACCGGCCGGCCCCGCCGAGCGTCGGCCCGGCCCGCCGCGAGGAAGGACGCGTCGGAATGCGACGGTGCATGTCATTTTAGGCGCCGAGACTTTCCAGACAGCGGCCCGGGCCGGAGGTGGAGGCGGTCATAGAATTAGGGAGGGAGAGGAGAGAAGACGAGGAGGAGAGGAGATGAGATGAGAGGAGAGGAGAGGAGAGGAGAGGAGAGGAGAGGAGAGGAGAGGAGAGGAGAGGAGAGGAGAGGAGAGGAGAGGAGAGGAGAGGAGAGGAGAGGAGAGGAGAGGAGAGGAGAGGAGAGGAGAGGAGAGGAGAGGAGAGGAGAGGAAAAGAGAGGAGTGGAGAGGAGAGGAGAGGAGAGGAGAGGAGAGGAGAGGAGAGAAGGGAAGCGAAATGTGACAAGATGTGATGAGAGAGGAATACATGGAAAACGTGCTTGATCAAATGCGCACTGCTGGAGACTGGAGTGACTGCTAACCTACCAGAGCCAACCGCACAGCTCAAATTTATACAAGAACCACCAGTCACCTCTGCCGAGTTTAGTATGGCCACCACGACTGACGGACACACCCAGGCGGGGTGCGGCGCCCTCTCAGCCTCCATCCACCAGAGCTAATAGCCGGTGAGCCAATCAGGCGGGTAGTGGGAGCGGGCGGCCGGCACCCTCGGGCAGTCGACACCCTCCCTGTCGGACAGACCGTGATGGTATGCACCCCTGTGCGGCCGCGGGCTGCCCCGGGCGAGAGGCGGTCCGGCAGGTATGCAGCGGCGCCGCAGAGGCCGCCAGAGCCCACTGACCTCGTTAGAGTCTCGGCCGTGCCGCATACATTACACACGCAGAGACCCGGCGCATGCAGATGGTGATGAGTCTGCTTACGATTACGCTGGAGAAGTCGAAGACTTGCCAGTATTATTATCATCAGGTTTCCAGTTACACCAGACTTTCGGTTTGGTTGTGCCAGTGAAGAAAATTAAATGTTACAGTGGATTTTTGCACCAATAAACAAACTGAGATCATATAAAGATTGTTTCTGTAATTCGTACAAAGAAGGAAACCATCGGTGATTAGACGACCAGGTCAGTTCTGTCGGTCACTCGGTCACTGTGTGAAGTCACGGGTCGCTGGCATTACGTCACGGTTCACGAGTCACGTGCTCGGATCGGTCCGTTACGTCACCCGGACCCGTGACCCCGCCCTCCGGTCGCACGGGCCGGAATGCTGCATTTGGCGCATCATATCAAAATTTTCCGCCCTCTAATCTGGGATTATTTCTCCACCTTCACTACAAACCGTGTGGTGTCACTGCTTCAAGGCCGGTAACGTAGTGGAATAGTAAAAAGAGAATACCTCCAGCGCTAATCCATTGGATTGCCATATTGTGCTTTTAAAAATGGAAGACATAAGACGGCAAGTTGCTTGGTCACGCGTTATGGATACAAAACGACGTGCAAGACAGCATGCAAGCGGCACAGTCGCAGGTGCAGACGGTTGAGCAGGGGTTCAGGTATTGTGGCTTCAATGCTGGCATTGTTGCGCATTGTAGCAACCCTTGCCCGACGAAACCATGCACAGGCGGCGTGCATGGTTTCGCGTGAGGCGCACCATGCACCCGGGACGCGTGCAAACATTCCACACTCGCCCGCGATAGCCGATCTCAACGGAAATCCGCCAGTTTCAGTGGAAACCCGCCCGCGGAGCGGCGCACACAATGGTATGTAAATATGTGCTCGCAGCGCCAAATCAGGTTTGTGGTTTCGGACGGATACGTGAAAGCTGGTTGATCGTTTGGATATGAGCGTTGACCTGCAGTATCACACGGTCTGAGATACAGAAGGCTACTCACAGTGCCGCCGTTTCCAGACGTATTTGTAGAGGACGAATCCCAGAGCACCGACTGTAAGTAGGAACAGCACGGCGAACACGACGGCGGCGGCCGTGGCGCCGGAGCCGCACTCGGCCGCGCCGTCCTGGGCCTGCGCGGCGACCCCGGCCCAGGTCAGCAGCGCCGCTGCCACCGCCGACCGGCGCACCAGCATCGCGCAGCTCAGAGACGAGCTCAGAGGCGCATCACCGTCTCACACCGCTCGCGCTCACACAGCCCGGCGAGCGCCGCGCTCCGGCGGGACACAGCACTCACGCGCGCACGAAACGCACGCAGCACGCACGCGCTGCAGCACGTGGGGAAGACGGCTCGGCGCGTCTGGACGCGGCGCGCGGCGCACCTGTTGTGGAGCGCGAGGCACCACCGCCGCCGCCGCCGCCGCCGCCGCCCGCCTGCGGCACGGAGCGTCAGCCAGGTACGCGGAGCGCACAGGCGGCGCCAGCGCTGCGCGTTTGGGGGTGCAGCTTCCATCGAAGAGGGTGTCATAAGTACGATATTTATTACCTCTTGATGTTTATAGTTGCGCAGTATACAACTGTGTGTAACTGTGTGTGTATAGTGTAGAAGAGAGACAATATTGGGGAGGATGATTACATTGAAGGAACGGCGTACACCCACAGACCTCGGAGATGATTGAGAAATATGTGCGCGTCTGTCCGGCATCTTACGACGCCCGTGCAAGCCTCAGGACACAGGAGAGCTCACTGGGATGATGAGGGGAAACAGCTAGGATACGTGAGCCGATGGCAGGGCGGAGCGGTCAGACAGGCGGACGAGAGGGTCGAACAACAGAGCAAACATCCTCGGTGGGTAAACGGGCACAGCGGGGCAGGGTATCAATGGAATCGGACTGAATGGGAGAAGGTCCGGAGGGGAAGGCACATGGTAGGTTGACCGTGATGGATGTGGGCTTATGGGGACCTGCCACTGCCCGCTATCCGAGTGTATTGGGCATTGGTTGGCCTATTTAAAGGCGGCTACGACTTCCTAGCGGGCCGCGAGAGCATTGTTGCGAAGGAATACCTAATTTGCTGTCGGGGGGTTACTGCCTACTCAGTTAGTCTGCATCCGCTATTTTCAATCTCTCAGATACCCAACCTTTTCTTCGACCACTCTCCCTCCCCTCGTACTCCGGACTGCACGGTGACCGGTAACCAATGCTCACAGCTCCTGTGACCGTCAGCAGTAGCACGGCTCGGCAACCTGTCATTCGGTGTGAACTGAGCCACACGGGTGGCCAACTCAGCCCATCGCACCGTCTTCTCATTCCATTGCCACGCAAAAACTGGTTTAATTTCCTGGGGGACAAAAAACTTAAGTAGGACCAAACATCACGGTGAGCGACTCCGAGGGGAATAAATGGAGCAGCCCAGGAACATGAGATCTTCCAGTATACCAGGGCCTGAACTCTGAAGACGAGGGTCGCCGGAGTGCAGACTACAGGATGGCTGAGACTCACAGATCGGGAGACACTGGTCACCCGACACCACTGACCCAGCACCTTGAGACAGAAAGTGCGGGTCACCCTCAGACTCAGCCCCTTGGACCTGATGGCGCGGGTCACACCACTAAAGCAGACGCTCCGTCGCCAGTAGAGCGACGCGCCGACGCCGACCCGGAATGGCCGCGCAGCTGATTTGGTATTCAGCCCGCCACAGTCGCCGCCGCGGCGGGCGACCCGTCAGCCAGCCCCGCACCTGACTGTCCGGTGACGTGTCAGCGCGGCGACTGCGACGGGCCCGTGCCTGGTGCGCGAACATGGCACTGTTGTGACCTCATGCACAAGGCAGTGTGTTAGTCCATTTTTCAGCCGATGGTAACAGCGAGTGGCGAGTGCCTGGTCAATGGTGGTTGTGTGCCTTGCAGTTCGTGAGAGATGACATCGGGTCATAACATTGCACTCAAAATGACCTCCCTAACTAAACGTATCACGCATGGAATGCATATTGGTTATTGACATCATTAACATCTCAGCTATCTGTGGTACACTATATAACGCACTCTGCAGCTTGGCGTTACTGTTGCTGGTACACATACCGACGCACCGGGAGTGTACGCACTGCCGGGGAGTGTGCCACTGCCAAGTGCCACGGTACTCGTATGTAGTATGTACGATATGTCGCGACACACGCCCGCTAACTTACATGGCTATCCAGTGTGTTAGCCGCCAGGGCACGGCGTGTTAGAGCCCACACCCCAGTGCACTATTTCGGCGGGTCCCGTAACCACGATCACATAGGTGATCAAGACATATTGCGCAGTGCGCTCCATCCTTACATAAGTTTTCATGTTTTAAATGCGCCGATTCAAACTAGCTCCTGCTGGGTGACGTCAAAGTAGTATTTGCATTACATGCCGTCGGCGCAAAAAAACAAAACAAAAACAAATGGGACAAAATCCACCCATTATGCTAGCCACGTCACTCACATGGTTTAGAAATAATTCACTTACCATGGTTTGGAATTAGAAATGTGTTCAAATCATCATTCAACACGATTCTCACATTTTTATGTCGTTTGTCTTTAGCCCCAACCTCCGGAACCCAAAATGAATCGTATCAAAGTACGTCGTATGTATTTCGTTCATTTTAAACAATACCTCTCAATCGCTACTCACAAACACCTCAGTCGTTTGTACATATCATCTAAAGGCGACAGGAAATACACACGTACAAAAACATACATTTGGAATGCACTAAAACATACACAGTTCACAGAGACAAGCATACGCTTTTGGTCTGTCCAACAGGACTTAGTGGCCACCACAGCAGAGACACCTGGTGGATGCGGGGAGACACCACCTCCCACCGATTCGGGAGTCACCCCAGAAGGGATGCCGGCACTGTCAATGGTCCGGTATACCGTTCAATTTGCCATCGCCACGGCGATCGCTGCACCTGGCGTCGGGACCAGCTCGTCGCAGAAGAGTGCCTGCTAGATCGTGCTGTGACAGCACTGTACCATTTACGGTATCATTTACGTTTTAACATTCACGGCATCGTTCACGGCAACCGCTCTTCAGTCGCCCGTCAGACCTATCAGCTATGACTTGTGCGCGTCTGCCGCTGTGTCTTGCCCTCGAAAAGCATAGCGCATAGCCAATTCTTCTCCCATACGGATAAAGAAAACCGGCCGTACCCGCGTTAGCCCGCGTGTGACGCATGAAGACGCTAGGATGCATAAACCTTTATGCCTTCCATATAAGGCACACTGTGAGCTTCCAACACTTCGCTGATCTGGCGTAATGGGCGATACTGAGACTCTAACCGATAGTAGGGGAGAAGGGATCAGCTGTCGTCGCCCACCTGAGAGTTCTCGCACGTCCGTGTGCTGGGCAGGTACACCTTGAACATGAAGTCCTTGTGGAAGGAGCCCTGCGAAAGAAGGGAGCGTCAAACGGTGCGCGAAAGACTGATGATGACACATTTAAAAGGCACTCGCATGATAGACACAATCAGCTTCATATTCTGTTCTTGTTATTGTGCTGTGCAACCACTGACTAACTTCAGGACGTCCTCATTAGGAAGACAAGTAGCGATGACCAAAGCTACCAGCCGAGCTCCCTGAGCGAGCTTGTACTCAAACCAAAGCCTTTCTCTCCTCTCTGTAACCCACACACCAAAGTCTACCCCACCCCGCCTTACAGCTAACTCCCCATTCCGTACCGGGTTGAGCACCGTGCAGCCCAGCTTGGTGATGGTGTACTGATCGAACTTGTCTGCGCACACCACCACGTCGGGCAGAGGGTAGAGTCGGAGGGCCCGGTCGTGCTGCCAGTACACGGGACAGATGTGCGGTGGTAGGGGCGCCAGGTGGCACTGCGACACCAGCGTGGTGACAAACTGCCGGACAGAAACGGGAGACAGACGGTCAGAGTACGGAAACCGTGGATAAAAATTACAAAGGGCTTTAACGCTCGTGAACGCTTACGACCCGGGAACAATGTTTCATTTATTAATCAGTGATGACCATGAAATCACTCCAAACAATTCTTATTGAAAAGCATGAAGCTGTGCAAATTGATACCGCGTCGCCGTGTCGGAGTCGGAGTCGATTTTAGAAGCCAGAGTCGGAGTTGGAGTCGGGATCAACCAAATCTATCGACTCTGCAGACCTGCCAGGGCAGCAGGGTTGGAGTCGGAATCGGTCGGAGTCGACAGTTAATCTGCCCGGAGTCGAGATGATTTTGGAAGTCGGAGTCGCAGTTGGAGTCACCGAAAATCCACTGACTACAGCACTGTTCCCTCCCACCCCATCGTCTTACGTGTGGCGGGATGTCGGGACAGTTTTCGGTCGGGTAGTAGATGCCGTGCCTGCACAGCTTCGAGAGCACGTCCTCCCGAAATATGACCATCTCCTGGGTGCAGAACTGTATCCGGCACGGGTTGGTGGTGAACTCTGAGTTGGGCACTCGTCTCCGGAACTCCTCCGATATGTAGGCGGAGAGTGGCGGTCTGCGGAGGGGGGCAGGGTTAGAGTGAGTCGGCGGGCAAATTAGTACGGCGAGTGACACATTTAGGGGCAAAAGGTATGCCGATTTCCTCAGACTCTAACTTTGACAAATGACAAGCAAGAGCAAATTTCTAAACACCCCTAGCAGCTGCCGATACGCACGCAATATAACCTCATGATCTGTCCGAATCTCACACTGACCTCACGTCCTATCAGACCCCAGCACGGTCGTCCCACGGTCCAACAGACACACACTGGCCAAATACTGCAAACCTGAGCACCAAACACACACAAACTAGCTCGCTAACTGACCTGGGCAGGATAGGAGCGATGCCCGGGTCGGTCGGGCCGGGCACAAACACGAACCGAGACTCCCGCAGCTCTGGCACCTTGGTGATCATCTCCGCCAGGGTCTGCCAGAAGACACGCAATCGGGAGGACGTCATGAGAGTCGGAAGGGTTGCTACATAATGCCCAACATTTAAGATCGTGGCCGCTGACGGACGGACAAAATTTCTATTGGACGGTCAGGGGCGCCGGTGAGCGGTAAAAGGCGCACCAGATCGACCACTCATCGGAAGGAGACGCTGCATTGGTCTCGACACGGCTCAGATCTGTCAACGACAGCTGCGATATTCACACACGATCCCATCATGCGAGCTGTTATTTATACATAAAGCGTTCGAGCAAGTCACCAGGGTGTACTTTCAACACCCCACCGCTGCGCAGTGCCAGTGTCCGCCTCTCTCACAGGCGACCGCCGCTCACCGTGAAGTGTTTGCGGAGTTCGCGGTAGCTGTTGGCATCGCGCGGCGCGTCCGTGAAGTTGCCCATCATGACGAAGGCCGTGGGCGGCGAGTGTTTGAAGCCGTCC